GGCCGGCCCCAGCCAATTTGAGGGTGAATTTGATGATTTGCCTGATAACATTCAATCTCTTATTCATCGGGCCATAGCTCATGGCATAGCTCTTCGTGGGCAGTCTTCTGACCAGGCAGATATGGAGCTGATGGCAGCCAGGCATAAACAAGCCCAGGCACCGGCCTCTAAGTCAGGCAAGGCATAGAGGGCTGTGTCTCCTTTGCTGAGGAGTGAGATATCCGCCCAGGAGGATGAAGAGCAGAAGGAACTGGAGGTCTCTGATGACGAAGGTTTGGCGCCCAATGTTCCCACTTTTTCAGGTTTGTTTGTTTTCCCTGGGTTTGTTTCGTTCTCTGCTGTTCAAGGCCAGGAGGACCACGGCCATCAAGACAGAGGCGGAGAAGCAGAAGGAGAAGGATCTGGCAGTCGAGGCTTTGGCGTCCAAAAAGGCCCCTAGGAAATGGGCTCTTTTTGCGGAACCTGCTGCAAAGGAGGAGATTCTGGCACCGAAATTGTTTCTGGATGTGGTTCAAAAGCACTGGGCTAAGCCTGGTATTTTCTCCACCCCGGGTGGGAATGATAGGCACTTCTATAGTATGGAGCCTGATTTCTCTCAAGCACTGGAGGTCCCGGCAGTGGCTGCCCCTGTGGCTGCCTTGGCATCCCCTGCTTCCCTGGTCGCGAGTGATGTGATGGACAACTTGAAAGCAGAGGATGAGGACTGAACTGGCCTTACGTAAGACCTTCCTGGCTGCGACGTGGGTGATTAAGGCTGCACGATGTGAGGTTGCTGCAAAACATCAGCAAGGTCATCGTCGCGACTCAATTCTCGCCGGGCTCTTTCTTCCTCTGTTTCAGCTAGGAGAATGGTGTGGTTCTGGTATTGGCAAACAGACACTAAGATGAAGTGGAAGTTGGTGGCGACCCCATATATGGGGAAGAACCTATTTGGCGTGGTCCTGGATCCGATTCTTATTGAGGATAAGAACAAACGTAAGATTTTGCTATCCGCGGCCAAGAAACAGGAACACCGGTTTATACCTTACACACGTAGGCCTAACTATAGGGGCTCAGATAATGAATATAATTACCAGCCCAGGGGGTTTCAATCGTGCCAGGACAGGGGGCAGGATAGATCATCCTACAGGGACAAGTCCTGTTTCAAGCCTCAGAATAACTAACTAACTAACTAACTCTTTTGGGGGGGCGAGTGGACACCCTTTCTGCAGAAACAAAAAGATTGGCATCAGCTCTCATTGGAGGCCAGCTGGCATTGTTTGCTGACTACTGGGAGTGTATTATCTCTGACCTTTAGGTCCTAAATATGGTTAGATTTGGCCTGCGGCTGGAATTTCTTTCCATCCCCCCAAACTCCTTCAGAACATTCACATCTTCCAAGTTTGAAATGAAGAGGGAACTCATGGTCAGGCTATTGCCCACCTGGTGGAGATCCAAGCGTTTGAGTTGGTCCTGCAGAATGAAAGGTGCAGGGGGTTCTACTCCAACCTTTTTGTAGTTCCGAAGTCTTCAGGGGGGTGGAGAGCGATTCTAGACCTTAAAAGATTGAATCGCTATTTGGTATATAAAAGGTTCAAGATCACTTCCCTTAAGTCGATTCTGGAAAGTATCAAGGATGGTGATTTCTTGGCCTCCATTGATTTAACGGAGGAATATTTGCATATACTACTGTTTCACCAACATAGGAGGTTCCTTAGGTTTTCTTATGCTGGCGTTCACTACCAGTATAGGACTCTCCCCTTTGGGCTAGCGTCAGCTCCCAAAACTTTTACGAAGGTGCTGGCGGCCCTAGCAGCTCATCTCAGGTCCATCCCAGTCAGATTACAATGCTACCTGGATGAATCCTCCTCCAGGTGGAGTCACCGGAGCAGTTTCTTCAGGACATTGGCCTGACTGTGGAGACTGCAACTGTATGGATTCTCTTAATTTTCAGAAGAGTCACCTGAGACCCACTATCAGATTGCTCCACCTGGCATGATCATAGATACTGCCATGGGGATGGTTTTTCTATCTCAAGATCACAGGGCTAGTCTGGTGAAGCTAGTTCGCCAGGTGCAGCAGTGTGTTCCCATTGTTACCTTGTCTCAGTTGTTAGGAAAAATGATCTCATGTATAGATCTTGTATCCTGGGCAAGGCTTCACGCCAGGGCCCTGCAATGGTTCTTACTCCTGTATCAGAGGAGCAAGCATAGTGTTTCCACATTCCCGGTTAGGGTTTCTCCTCAAGTGTGGCTCTCCCTGAAGTGGTGCGATTCCCCAGTCTTTATCTAAGGGGTGCGTGTTCAAGAAACCGCAGAGGCTCATGCTGACCACTGATGCGAGTATTTATGGCTGAGGGGCCTTACTTGGGACCCAGCTGGCCCAAGGATCTTGCAAATAACATCAACTGGCTGGAATTGCGGGCTGCTCATCTGGCCCTTCGCCATTTTCAGGCCTGTGTTGCGCATAGTCACATCCTGCTGCAACGTGGCTGCAAAGGCACATGTGAACAGATAGCGAGGGATGCATTCCAGGGCTCTCTGGGAGGAGTCTCAGAGGCTAGGCCATTGGGCCTAGCAAGGCGGATCACATCTCCGGGGAGGTGAGCCATCAGGCAGAGTGGCTCAACAGAGCCACGGTGGACCAGATGGAATGGCAACTGGATCCGGAGCTGTTTGAAGAGATTTGCTGGAGATTAGGATGGCCAGAGGTGGACCTCTTCGTGTCTCCGGAGAACGCCCAGCTTCCCAGGTTTTTCATGCAGTTCCCAACTTGGGGAGTAGTGCCCTGCGCAGCAGGTGGCCTCGGGAGTTGCTTTATGCATTTCCCCCTCTTCCTCTCATCCCAGGGTGCTGGAGAAGATAGTGGCGGAAGGGGCGGAGGTAATCATGGCCGCTCCATACTGGCTGCACAGGCCTTGGTTCATGCATCGAGTAGGTCTGTCCACTAACAAACCCTGGAGGATCCCACAGGAGGGGCTCTCCCTCTGCCAGGGATCCTGGTCCATCTGGAACCTCAGTGGCTCCAGCTGAGCCCCTCCACAACTAGAATCTACAACGCCACGTGGTCTGCTTTTTGTAAATGGTGTCATGCGGCACACGCGGATCCCAAAGGCTCATCTCTGCTGCACATCCTGGAATTCCTCCTGGTGGACTGGAGAAGGGTCTGTCCCATAATACGCTTCATAGACAGGTGGAAGCCCTGTCCTGGTGTTGGACGGTAGTGTGAGTCTAGGCCGCCATCCGGTTGTTAAAAGGTTTCTCCGGGGGCGGCCAACCTTAAGCCCCTGGTGGTTCACAGGGTCCCATCCTGGGATTTGTCCATGGTTTTCTTGGCTCTCATTAGTGACCCCTTTGAGCCACTGAGAACTACTTCCTTGCAGTTTCTCACTTTGAATGTGGCCTTCCTGGTCACCATCACATCTGCACGAAGGATCTCTGAGCTGGGGGATCTGTCAGTGAGGGAGGACCTTTGTGCCTTCCATCCCAATACGGTTGTGCTGCGACCTGATCCTACTTTCATTCCCAAGGTTAATTCTTACTTTCATAGGATTCAGGGGATAGTTCTCCTGGATTTTTGCCCCAATCCCTCTCATGATAGGGAGAAAGACTGGCATATGTTAGATATGCAGAGGGCTCTCCGTATTTACATTAAGCGGACGGCGTCCACTAGCAAGATGGAGGCATTGTTTGTCTAGTTTCAGCCTTCCGCTGTGGGCTCCAGGGTGCCACCTTCCACTATTGGGTGCTGGCTGCGAGGTTGCATTGCTCGGGCCTATGAGGCACAGGGTACACCTGTACCCCAGGAGAATCACTGTGAATTGGAGCCAAGCAGGAAGGAGCTGGAAGCATGGCTTCAATTATGACTCAGTCTCTTGGGCAAATAAGGATTGAACAACCCACTTCTGAACCGTCCTGTGCCACGCTGAGAAGAATGTTCAGATAGGGCCAACGTTCCATCTGTCCAACTCAAACATGACTTTGGCAGCATAAAACAAAAAAAAAAGAAAAGAAACAAAAGAATCATTATTAAAAATAACCTGTGTTTAAATTGCCTCTAATAAATTATTCATTTTTATGTAAAAGATGTATGTAACCAACCATTTGGAATTCACAATGCCAAAATAAACTATGTCTATTTGTAATCAATTGTTGTCCAGTCAAATTCAGGCCTTGATCAGGTTTGTATTTAGTTCGGAACTAAATAAACCAGGACCCAGATAAATTTCCCTATTCCCTGCCTTGCTTTTTGATTGAAATTGTCTGATTGTCCAAAAATCTCCTAAAGAAGCTCGGAATGAGTCAATTCCATTATATTTCATGTGCCCCATGATTTCCTGGAGGAGATGGTGTACACCAACCATTCCCCCAGTTTTTGCCACATGATGTAACCACATTTGGTGAAGTAATTGTGTGCCATGGTTCTGTCACCTCACTGTTGTCCTATTCTTTTTTCCTACAGCTCATCAGAATGGTCTGGTTTCCTTGCGGCAGGGCTCTTATGGACCCAGAGTGAGCTTCATAAATTGAAGAGTGGGATTCAGCTTTTTTGAGCGGGAGATTCTATGCCAATGATGTAACACAATGGGAAGTTTCCCTTGCCACCTGCCTGCTCTTTGAAAATTCTTTTTGGTGCAAGTCTCCATCGTAGATATTCCTCCTGGACANCATGGTTGTCCCAAAGGGGCTTTTTCAAAAGGCAACTGGACTTTGTTTTTCCTTGAAGATGTTTCGCTTCTCATCCAAGAAGCTTCTTAAGTGCACAGTATAAATGCCAGACTGGATCCAGTGCAACAGCTTTGGTCAATGGACATGCTTCTGTCTCCTTCCCATGCTTCCATTTTATAGATGGAACTGAGGTTTAAATTTGGGAAATGACCCCATGCAACACACCAGTGCAACTGATGCTTGTAACATCTGAACTTCAACTCATATCTTTTTCACCTCTAATCTTTTCTTGAGTTGGGTAGTGAGAGCCTTCCTTCCTGTTTTCTTCTTTCCTTTCCATGATTCTGGGTTTAGAAAAGAAGTTAAAGTCTTCCAAAGCCAAGAAGAAACGAAGCTGCTTGAGATTGTTCCATCACCATATTTCATTACAGTGGCTGAAGCTTCTCAGATATTGCCTAGATGCGCCTTGCTGGGCCAGTCCTCACCTCTTGCATCTGTAAGTACATCGAAGTAGTGGGTCTGGGGCCACAAAGTGGCTTTCGTGGTTCTAGGGCAGGAGAGAGTAGCAGGAAGGCAAGTTTTGGATCTCCCCATTTTGGCTTTCATCGTTTCAAGATCTAAATTAAATTCTGGAAGGTCTTAGAAAGAGGCTCATTTCTGAGAATCCATCAGCAGAGTTTCACTCAATCAATGCTTTCCAATTTTTTTTTTAGTCATTGAGCCAATAAGAAAGGTTCAGAAAATGCCAGAACCATCAGTCAATGCAAAGTTCCCCTCACTGTACTTTCCTCTTCAAGAACACAAGAGCTTATGTTTTCTAGCAAAGAAGAGAGCATGTAGGCCTTCTCCAGTCTCCAGCATTTTTAAAGGTCCCCTATTTGCCATTGGCTTAAAAAGGTAACGGTTCCCTCACACATATGTGCTAGTCATTCCCGACTCTAATGGGCAGTGCTCATCTCCATTTCAAAGCCGAAGAGCCAGCGCTGTCCGAAGACGTCTCAGTGGCCATGTGGCCGGCATGACTAAATGCCAAAGGCGCACAGAATGCTGTTCCCTTCCCACCAAAGGTGGTTCCTATTTTTCTACTTGCATTTTTACATGCTTTCGAACTGCTAGGTTGGCAGAAGTTGGGACAAGTAACGGGAGCTCACTCAGTTACGTGGCACTAGGGACTCGAACTGCCGTACTGCCGACCTTTCTGATCGAAAAGCTCAGCATCAGTCACTGAGCCACTGTGTTGCCTTACCCATACCATAATAACAATTCTTAGGACATATTCATTTTGCAAGAATGTTCTTGAACACTTACAACCATTCATTTAATGACCATTTAAAGTTACAACAGCGCTTGAAAAAGTGAGTTATGACTGTTTTCCTCATGACCATTGCAATATCCCCATGGTCACATGATCAAAATTTGGCCGCTTGGAATCTGATTCAAATTTAAGGTTGTTGCAGTGTCCTGAGGTCATGTGATAATCTTTCATGACCTTCTGACAAGTAAAGTCAATGGGGAAGACAGCCATTTAACAATCATTATACTAACCTAACAACTACAGTAGTTCACTTAACAATTGTGGCAAGAAATGTCATATAATGGGGTAAAACTCACTTAACATGTCTTGCTTAGTAATAGAAATTTTGGGCTCAATGTTGGTTGTACAGTGAGGACTACCTGTATAGATTGCTGACTGGTAAAGGATCAGGAGGGACAGATGAGTAGTGCAAGGAACCTCCTTTAAGGTAGTAATCAATGAGTCTCCTTTTCTTTGTGAACTGCATATGTGAGGTCACATTTTATTAATTTTAGCACAGGTAGTCCTCGACTTACAACAGTTCATTAAGTGACTGTTCAAAGCTACAACAGCACTGAAAAAAGTGACATGACCATTTTTCACACTTTACAACAATTGCAGCATCCTCATGGTCACATGATCAAAATTCAGCTGCTTGGCAACTGATTCATATTTATGATGGTTGTAGGGTGCCGGGAACACCTGAACCCCTTTGGGCACCTTCTGACAACCAAAGTCAATGTGGAAGCCAGATTCAATTAACAACCGTGTTACTAACTTTACACTTGAAAAGAGTCACAACAACTGTGGCAAGAAAGATGGTAAAATGGGGCAAAACTCACTGAACAACTGTTTCACTTAGCACATAAATTGTGGTCGTAACTCGAGGACTACCTGTACAAATCTGGTTTTGCTTGCCAGGATTCTGTTGAGTATGGAACCTCCATTGCCGGCTGAGGCTCAAGAGAAGCTCTTCTACCTGACTTCTATTTACACCCAAGAAGATGGCATCTTCCCCAATTCTGGCACCACACTGGACATTTGCAAGCAGCCCATTTACACCGTGGAGAGCTTGCTGGAGCTCAATGCTCCTGCTGCTGCCCACAAATTCTTGAAGAGAGCAGGGCAGACAGAGGTGTTGCCAGGAATGGTTAAAGAGAAAGGGTTGGCTGAGGAAGAGGAGGAGGAGGAGGAAGAAGAAGAAGAGATTGGCACTCAATCACCATCACAGCAAGAACCTCTCTTCCTGGAAGACCCAGCAGCTTTGGCTGAGAAAAGAAAAGTTCTTCAGGGGGGAGTCTGGCAAGTTGGCTCAGGTAAAACCTGGCTTCTAATCTGTTGGGAGTTTGCATGTTTGGCATGTTAAGGGCAAAAAATGGGCCTGAGAGCTTCGTAGTTTATCTCTGAATGTCTTGTATAAATAAGACTGTGGTTGGAAGGTGCGAACGTGGAGAATGGTAAAAGCAGGAGGAAAGGAACATAGAGTTTAGATAAACTATGCCCCATAATTGCCTTTGTTTAATGGGATACCTCTTTTAATAGCACCTGTCTATAGTCCAAAGCAAGCATATGCAGTTCATGGACTCCCTGGCTCTGGACAGCTAGAAATATGGCCCCATAAGATAGTATAAGAATGTAAAAAAGATGGTTATGTATATGCTTTAACTATAATATATACATTATATGTGGCCCAAGACAATTTATCTTTACTCAGTATGGCCCAGGCAAACAAAAGGTTGAACATGTTTGGTCTAGAGCAGGGGTGGGGAATTATGGCCCTTTCTGAGGAATTCTGGGAGTTGAAGTTCGCAAGTCATAAAGGGCCATCGTTCCACACCTCTGGTCTAGAGGAAGAGGCTTTATGTCTTTTAAGCTTGATCCTTGGAATTTCCATGTGGCATTTGGAGCCTGCCAAAACCTTAGAGAGCTGCTGCTAAGAAAAAAACATAACAAAGGTGGGACCTTCTGAACAATTGCTAAACCATAAATCACCATTGTTAGTTGAACTGAACAAAGTAACGGGTGTGAATTTAGATTCCCATCTACTCCAATTAGATTACTTGTAGGACCTCCTGTATCCAACTATTTGTTTTGTAATATCCAGCAGAGTTGGCATGCTTTGAATTCCTCTCTCAAAGAAGTCACCTAGTGGGATCAAGGGAGCGTGGCTTCTCTGCTGAGGACCTGTCATATGGAACATCATGTTCAGATGGCTGTGACTCTGTCCTTCCTCACTGGGCCACACCATGGATTAGATTGAAAAGGTTTGGTTCCAAGATGGGACCGTTTCTGAAAGAGCAGAAGACCAAGGTGCTCTCAAGCAGCCTTTCCCAATTTCCAAATATCAGAGCATTCTGGGAGTTGAAGTTCACAGGTCTAAAAGTTGCCAAGGTTGGATACTCCTAGTGTTCCCTTTTGGCTCAGTGCAGTGTTTGAACTCAGCTCCTGTGACTTCCTGGGTGACTCTATCCATCATTGGCTGTGTTTGATTTTGCTAAGGTCTAGCCATTCTCTCCCCCCCACCCCCGG